CATCATAAAATTTCGTTTGATTCCCTTCGGAATCAACCATCATCAGTCGACTACCTTTCTTCTTCCACTCTTGTGGAGCCTTCTTCTTTCTACCGTCCGTAGAGGGGGTTTGGGCACCACCCAGCGTAGCCTCTAAGTCTAGGGCCTTCTTGCTGAAGGTCTCAAACGTGTGATACTCGAGTCGAGCCTCGTTGGCTAACAAGTTTTTAATGTCTGTGGGAAGACATCTCAAGAACATGGTCAATAAGACTGCGGATTGTACTCCACCCCTGGAACAATCATCAGGCGCTCTACGGTTGTGGTAAGCTCGCGCACAGACTTATACTTCCTAGCGTCTAAGTTTCAATAACCCATCAGTGGCTATCTGTGCCTGTTGAGGGTTGTGCCACCGCGCCTCTACCAAGTCCATAAAGCTCTCTAGGGTGTGGGTATGTGCCCAATCACCCATGTTTTTGCTGAATCCCTTTGAAGCAACCAATCCATTTAACCAGCGAGTCGTTGAACCCTCTAAATAGGATGCAGCAATTATCACCTCCTCCTCTACCAATGTCCTCTTTGCCCTCACCCATACTGGCACAGTTCTCAACGATGTGTTGAGAGCCTCATCCTTCTTATCTCCTGAGAAGGTTGGAGGTGGTTTCGGTAGGGTCTTGGGGTACCAAGGTAATTGTTGTCTTCTTATCTCCTGAGAAGGTTGGAGGTGGTTTTGGTAGGGTCTTGGGGTACCAAGGTAATTGCTGTCCCGCTGGCGGGTGGCGATTGTGGTGTAGCTCCAGTCGCTGGACCAGAAGATGAAGAAGCAACAGTCTGAGATAGCACTGCTGCTGAAGTACCACTTGGTGTTGATCCAGACTGAGCGGCATAGGGGCCTATCATTGCTGAGAATGATAGCGATGGCAAAGCTGCTGGCCTGGCTCCTGGCCTTTATATGGCGTTCAGGATCTGGTACAGGGTGTCGAGGATTGCATCCAGTTTGCTGTCCATGTATGCGCGCATGGACAGGATGCTCGCCTTGACAACTTTCATGTTGTTGTCCAGGGTAGAGTCATCTAAACCCTCTAGTGCAGATTTGCCTGCCTCTCTGCTCTCTAGTCTGATACTCCTATTTCTAATTTATTTCTCTTTCGGTAGCTTTTCTAAGTCCCTCCGCTAGCCTTATGTAGCTCCTCTCTAATTGTTGGAGCTCCATCTGCTCCCGGGTGCGTGGGGGCGACGAGCTAAACTGTGAGCCCGCCATCTGACTAGTGCCAGCTCCTGACGTATTGGAGATGGACTGTGAACTGGTCGCGTTGAGTGGCATGCCCAAACTCTGACTAGTGGAGTTTGCAGCTGAAGTGGTTGAAGAGATAGCCATTGCTACCGCGCTAGCTGCTGCTGTTGCCAACGCACGTTCAACCGTTGTTGTTGCCCCTCTCGCAGTCTCTAAATTACGGCCCCTTGCTTCGGCCCTAAGTCTTCTCTCGTTTCCTGGTAGTAGAACCTGGAACACTACGGGTATCCTACCGGTCTCCCGTCGTGTCTGCCTCCTATCGCCAGTTGTACCTTCACCACCCTCTGATCCACGCATGGGCTAGGTAGACGTTGCCTGCACTAATGTACTCTTTGGGACCTACCGCAACATGTGTCTGAGCGGTTCTAAAAATAATTAAAATAAATTAATATCCAGCGAGTTACCTAGACTACCGGTCAAGCGGCATCAACAGCACCTACACAGACTGTACACATATAGTCTAATTCTATTCTGATTAGTTCCATTCAGAAGCGTTGAGAAGAACTGACTATGGTAGATTACAATCCTACTCTAGGTTGTCTGTTAGGTGTCAGCAGTCTGTCAACCAACTAATCAAAATGAAAATAAACTACTGTGAGCAAATGTATGCACATGGGTATAATAGTGATGTTCAATTGAGTCCACAATTGGAATCCCCTTCCCTTGTATCCAATGTACCTGTGAGCATCATCAAGTTGCGATGTCTAAGGTGTGCAACCACGGCCCACCCCTGTGCCCAAGACGTATGTTTATGGCCAGCCTGCCCGTTATTTACCCTCGCGTGCAATGAGCCTTACGTCTGACTGATCTGGCTGATCAAGAAGCAATTTAAGGACAGCCCCCAAGAGTCCTCGTGAATTATTTAACGTTGCAATCAGGACGACGATCACAGCCAGTGGACAGTTCAGACCCCAACCAGAAATGTTTATAAACGGCCTGGGAGCGTCTGCTTAGGACCGGTCAGTCCGCACACCCCTTCTATCAGCACAGCAAAGAGCCTCAAAGGACAAAGCAGCATGACCTGCATGTAGTACTCCCATGCGTTGGCATGGTGACCGTGACCCGTGCTTCAACCGTGACCCGTGCTTCAACCAAGGCCCTTCAAAGGCACCGCCCTTTCCTGCCAGATGTGCCACCGGGAAGACTGTCATCTGTCAAGATAGAGCGCACACGACTCCTCACCAAAGAGAGGACACTCAAGTTGGACTCACTTCCCCACGGTAAGAAGAGATTGAGAGGGTAGATAAGGAATGGGAACAACGTACCAGGAGATAGCTTCCCCCAACCACAGATTTCTCACCAATTGGGCCGACGTGCATTTCGATGACCGATCAATAGCCTCGGTACCACCCACAACGCAATGCAGTGTCACCTCAGCCAAAATGCCGCGTCAGCATACTCTCATCATCATACATACACCCGCTGTCGCCACAGCCTTCCGGCCCCTCCACTTGGGCCCCGCTATAACAAGCCAGCGCCAAAGCATCCTTACTGCACATGAAGCATCGTCAGCGCACCAAGTAACGATGTCGCCAGCGCCAGGTAAGCGGCGATAACGAACCAGCTCTGATACCAAATTGCAAGGAATATGAGTGTGAACGATATACAGAAAACCAAGTTGCGAAATCACACAGATGTCTAAGTAGTCGTGTACAAGCAGAGAGCACAATAATTGCACCGAGAATCCATCCAAATAGAGCAATACAATGAAGTAATGAGCCAATGTTCAAGCCTGTAGGCCACACCAAAACAGTATCCAAAGTCGCTCCTCTCTGCCTGGTGCCCAGCGCCCAGCCTACTCTACTCAACTATCCTACCTACAGCTGTGTTCACGCAACAGGCTCACTTCGACTCTCAAAGACCAATGTACATGATGTCAACAGTATAGCCGACCTCTCTTCATGCACCAGGTACGTATCTCGTCACCTTCATCAGACCTTGAGAACCCACACTCCCCTCCTTCCCTGAAGACCACCAGATCGCCCTCTTACCCCCTGGCGCCCAGCAGTCGGTCTATGGCTGCCTGCGCCCCGCTGCCCTGCAGCGCCCCGCCAGCGCCCTGACCATTAGCGCAGCATCCAATGCAGCAGCGCAGCAGCATGACCGCATTGCCTGCACAGGCCAGAATACCTCGCCTGGGCTGCCTCACTTCCTACATGGAAGTGGCAGCCTCCTGGACGCTGCGTGTGGCCTCGCTGGAAGCTTCCAGTAGCTTCCGGTTGGGCCTCAGTCCCTGCGCCCAGGCCCAAGGCTACAGTTGGGCACGGCCTGAGTCTCCGGACTTGGGCTGTTTGCTGCATCTGTGCAGCCCTGGTAGGTGCATCGACAGTACTGCTTTTGCATAGGCCGATGGCCTGCTTCTCAATGTATCGGCCCTGCTTTGTGTGTATGTGCCCAGGCGCAACTGCCAGGGCCTGGGCCAACTGTACGACGCAGCTTAGTGAGGCTCACGCGTCTACTCAACCAACTGGTGTGCTGCAAGAGCCTGAATACCCACATATGGAAGTGTCAAATTTTTGGCCTCTGACGAATATTCAGGCCCGCCTTCACTTAGGGCGGGCACTCGGCTTGCTGGGGGCCTTTGCCCAGAACATGTGATGTCTGATAGGGCCCTGTGAGGATTCGTTCCTCGCATTTTGAAGACAGGAGGGAGTAGCCCCTAACATTAACTCATTTATCTACTTTAATCAAGCTCGTGATATGTTCACTAACAGTGACATGTGTGTACCATTCCCACCTGGGTTGGCTGTTTCTCCTATTCAATCAGTGGCACTATAACCGATGACGATTTTCCTCTCTGCAGATACATGTAATTCAACCGGCAATTAACGTAAGCATTTTGTTGCCTCTACAGCTGCAAAAATTAGAACAACAGGTTGGACGCCTGCAACGGCTCCACCCTCAGCTGCTGACACAGGGGGAGGGGGAGGGGGAGCGGGAGAGGCAAGGGGAAGGAGGGTACTCACCTGCAGTGGAGAGTCGGACAGGGATGGTGGGCGCAGTAATCAGCACGAGTAACAGAGGTTGTTGGAGTTGTGTACCGCGTGGAGGATGCTCGGGGCGGAGAGAGAGAGAGAGAGAGAGAGAGAGAGAGAGAGAGAGAGAGAGAGAGAGAGAGAGAGA